CGACACAAGTGTGTTAATTGGCACTATCTGGAAGTGCAACCTTCCCCTCCATTTGTGTCAGGAGACATCTGTAGGAGCTGCAACAAGTCACACGTCTGGCCCTTCCCTCCCGTGAGCACCGTGTAGACGTTCTCAGGTCCCAGGTGAGAGGTGGGAGGCAGATTTACAACTCAGAGTCTGAGAAAGGACTCAGAACTGCAAGCTTCCTAAAGTCCCTCCTCTAATTTGGGACTTGGGGCCTATTTACCTCTTGCCAGGTTTGGGCTGAAACAGACAGTAAAATCCAGCAGCAGTGGCTTTCTCAGGCCGGAGCTGGGGTCCTCCTAGGGACATGTCCCGAAGCTTCTAGAAGCCATACTGGAGTCTGGTCACTCTTGTTTGGACAGAGAGCTTAGAGACCAAGGGCCATGCTGGCCTCCCCACCTGGGCCTCACTACAGGCCGGGCTCCCTCGGCCCAAGGTGACCTCTCCACTGTTCACCTCAGAATTAGAAGCGAGGGACCCCCAGTGGTGGGGCCACAAGATGGTGGGCACCTGGGCTCCTGAATCAGAGCCTGCAGGCTGCTTGATGTGGCCTTCAATGAGACGTTAACAACTGGGGCCAGAGCCACCCAAACAGCTGTGTGCAGGGGAGCTGGCCTCACCCTAATGAATCCACAGTGGCATCCCTGACTTCCCGAGCCCCGTGGGCCACCCTGAGGCCTCCTCTGTCCCAACAAAACTTCCCTGGGTCCTCATCCTGTGGAGACAAAGACGATGGCCTGGCCCGGGGTGTGCCTTGGGAACAACAAATTTTCTCTTCACACATTTCTATCTTGTCCCTTCCTCATCCTGATATGGGTGTGTTACTCCCAGGAGGGGCAAGTTTGTAGGTTTTACAGGGATAGTTCTCCAGGTGAGAAATCAGAGAGAGATTGTTTTTTCTTTCCATGAGCATGGTCTCTTTTAAAAATCACTCCAGGAGCTAGGCATGGTGGCACAGACCTGTATTCTCAACACTATGGGAGGCTGAGGCAAGAGAATCCAATTTCAAGCCCATCCTGGGCAACTTAGCAACTTAGCCTCAAAATGTTGTCTCAAAAGAAAATGGGACTAGGAATGTAGCTCAGTCTAAAGGCCTTGGGTTCAATCCCCAGTATATCCCCTCCCCCAAAAAACCACCACCACCAACAACAAACAACAACAAAACTCCAGATCAGGGCTGGGGATGTAATTCAAAGGTGAGCACACACCTAGCATGCAGGAGGCCCTGAGTTCGATCCCTAGCACCACAAAACAAAAACAAAAACTCCTTACACTATTTGGGCCAGTGGCTCTAATTCCGCTCCACACCAAAGTCACTTGGAGACCGTTTCATTTTGTTTTTTGGGAGGAGGGGGAGACAACAAAACTATCTATTTTAGGACCAAACCAGTAGGAAAATATATCACAGTCTTCACACAGCAAACAGGCAGGCTTTATTATCATTTCAATAAAAAGTTGGTACGAAGACAACATGGGCCTCATCCAAAAGATAAGATGCCATGCTGCACAGGGACACTGCGAGTTGCAAAAATGGTATTTGGTAGAGGAGTCACAGGTCAAGTTGCTTACTTTTGACTGTCCTGTTGCCAGGAGATTATCTCAATAAGCCACTGTTAATTCAGGGGGCCAAGTAAGCAAAGCTTTTATTTAGGTTTAGGCTTTTATTCCATTCTGTTCTATAAAAGCCAATTTCTACTTCACAACTACCTTAACTAGCCAACAGTTCCCATTTCACTGTTTATTACTGGATGTCAGCTAGTCAAAACCCTTTACCCTTCAGAGGAAAAGTGTCCCTGCAGGATTGTTCTGTTAACTGCCTCAAACAGCCCTAGGGCCCATCGGCCAGGGTAGAAAGCTCTGCTTTCCACATAGTGTGTGACACCAGAAAAAGATGCAGTGTAAGAATTTCAAGAAATCTGCATCCATACCTTGATGGCCACACAAAGACTCTATCAGAATTCTTCTTTTTTTTTTCCTTTTGGTACCAGGGATCGAACTCGGGTCCTTGAGCTTGCGAGGCAAGCGGCGGAACCACTGAGCTAAATACCCGGCTCTATCAGAATTCTTATCTACTCTCCCTCTCAACTCCGCATCCTAAATCCACTGAATGCCTGTGCATATAAAAACCAACCAAAATGAAGTTATGAATAACCCCACCCACCCTCCACCGTCGCTGCTTTTTGTCTGTTTGTTCGTTTTGAGACAGAGTCTTGCTGTGTAGTTTGGACTGGCCTTGAATTCACTATATAGCCCAGGCTGGCCTTGAACTCATGGTGATCCTCTCGCTTTAGCCTCCCAAATCCTGGGATCACAAGTGTGCACCAACATGCCTGGCTTCCCCCTAAATTAGTAATCTCTGGAATTGTGTTTTACAGCTTACCGAAAATGGTGTGGTGATACTTCTGGCAAACAGGAGGTTGGCTACAGACACACCTCTCCTGCGACTCCACCAGGAGTCTGCTGCCCTGCTGGTATCTGTGTATTCAGAAGAATCTGGTACCTCAGAGGACTCTCAGTTGGCACAAGAGAGATATATGCTGCCAGCATAAGATCTTGCCACATTTTGGGCTCTAAAACCCTCTCTTGTGCTATCTTTGACCTAAACTTGAGCACCAGGGGGTATTTTTCCATTTTACTTTCTAGCATCCAAACATAGAGGAACCAGGATCCAAAGGCAAATGAAATATGTCTTACTGTCATTCTTAGTTTCTTCATTCATAAATTTTGCTTAGGATTTCCATTCTTTTTAAATGGATTCCTGCCCCCGGCCCTGATGACCTCTGGCAAAGACTTTTTTTATTTCCCAAAGGATGAGAGCTATTCCTTCATCTTCTTAGTCATAGTTGGAATGAGGTTCATGTGGTCATCCACACACTTGGCCACGCAACTGTCCAGCTGCTGTTACACCTGAAGCTCCTTTCTGCCTGCATCCATCAAATCTTTGGCTTTGGCTTTGCAATGCATGGTGCATCATGTCAGGATATCCTGGAATTTTCCAACTCACTGATCACCAACACCTGGGCTTGAGCTAGAGGTGCATGGCAGAGCTCTAAGCACTGGTGCACTTGTAGCACGGACACCTGGTTGTGCTCACATCTGGTTGGCACTGCACTGGAGCACAAGGCCCTGCCTCTTCCCAATGTTCTCTCTCTCCACACTCTGCACCGTGGAGTCCCCAGCCTCCTGCATCTGGAGCTGCTGCCACTCCACCATAACAAACCTGAGCTGTGCTACATCGATGCCCGCATTGCCTTGGCACACGGCCCCCTGGAGACCCTTTTAAAAAATATAAATATGTAGGTGCCACTGACACCCTAGAATTCAGTGGTGGCTCTTGTGCCACAGGCAGCTATTTGTTATCATGGGAAGCTCTGAAAAGGTTTGCCATCGCTGCCTAGATGGTATTTAATTGTTTTGGGGTGGGGCTGCTAGATTTAGCAAATAAAAATGCAGCTGCAGTTCTCCATGGGACACACGCTGAAAGTTTACTCGTGTATCTGAAATTCAGATTCAGGTATATCTGGTATGCTGCAGTCGATACCACTTAGTCTCAGACAGGTTCAACATGCAGCCAGGGCTGGGCACCCGATGTAGGCTCTGCCTGCCCAGCCCCTGTGAGGACCCCCACGCCCGTGCATCAGGAGCTTCCCATGGACTTGGGAACCTGTCTGCATCAGAAGGGGAGCTCCATGGGGTCCGGCCTGGCAAAGTGCTGCAATCACCGCTGAGCACTCAGAAGTGGAGGTGACTTCAGCCTCCTCAAATCTCTCAGGTGACCCACAGCCATGTTGGCAGCGATGGTGCCCTCATCTGACTCACTGGGAGCTTGTTAGAGCCGCAGAGCCTCAGTCCCCACCCCAAGCCTGTTGACAGAATCTGCATTTTCACAGAGTCCCCAGGTGATCACCTAAATATGCTCTCAACCCTACGCCCTGGCTGCTCACTGAAGTTCCCAGAGACCTGGCCCCAGGGGGGCCTGACTCGGTGGGGTGAGGTACAGGCTGGCATCACACCTTTGCCAAGCTTCCCAGGTGACTCCATTCTGCAGCCAGACCTGCCCACCCTTGACCTAAGTCACTTTCCCAATCTGGCCATGGCTGACAACCAGGGCCAAATAATCTTCCGCCGTGGGGCTGTGTGCACCACAGGGTGTTGAACAGCATCCCTGGCCTCTACCCACTTGTGCCTGACTCCCAGTTGTATTGACTGAAAAGTTTCCCGATATTGCCCGTGTTCCTTGGGGTACAAAGTCACCCCTGATTGAGAACCACTGTTCTAAACTCTCTACTAAGTCCCTTCCTGCCACACAGCCTGTGGCTTTTCTGCCTGGACCCTTCCTCCCTTCTTTCTTCGCTAATTTTATCTCCTCAGAGTTTACCTTTTTCCAATTGGCCCAATTCTCAGATCCTATACAGCAGCAGTTCTCAAGTATATTCCTGGGGACAGAAATGTGTTTACAGTGCAGATTTTTGGGTCCCATCCAGACTTGCTGACCCAGAAAACCTGAGGCTGGGGCCCAGCATAAACCCTCAAGGGATCATGTGGTGTGCAAAAGTGAAGTGACATCCCCTTGTGAGATATATCTATATCTATATCATCTATATCTATATCTATAATTATTTTGTGGTACTGGAGAATGAACCTCGGGCCTTTGTACTGAGCAACATCCCCAGCCGTTCTTTTATGTATTTATTTTTATTTTGAGACAGGGTCTCCCTAAGTCACTAAGCTGCCCAGGCTGGGCTCAAACTTGTGATCCTTCTGCCTCAGCCTCCAGGAGTGCTGGGATTACAGATGTCCACTACCACACCCAACTGAGACAGATATTCTTAATTCTTTTTTTTGTATTTCGTATTTATTGGTACATTTTAGGTATACAATATAATGGCATTCATCATTGGAAATTTGCACCTTTACATAATCTCTAAAGATATTCTTAATTCATTTTTTTTTTTTTTGGTACCGGTGACCGAACTCGGGACCTTGTGCTTACGAGGCAGGCAGGCGGCGGAACTACTGAGCTAAATCCCCGGCCCCATATGGAGGCTGGGACTGCAGCGCTGATTAGTAAATTACTCATGGTCATGTGATGTTGAGCCTCAGTAAGTCTCTTTCTCAGGGCTGCCATAATAAACTACCACAAAATGGGTGGTACGTGATCACAGAAAGGGATTCTCTCACGGTCCCGGAGGCCAGAAGTCTGAAATCAACTGTCAGCAGGGCTATGCTTCCACCAAAGACTCCAGGAGGGCACTTGCCTTGCCTCTCCCTGCTCCTGGTGGCCGCTGGAAACCCTCAGCTTGTAAGACACATGATCACCACTCTGCCTCTATTTTCACTGGCCGCCTCCTCCTCTCTCCCCTGTGTCTCTTTCTCAAATCTCCCCATCTCTCTTAGAGGGATGCTGGTCTCCTAGCCTAAGTCCAGGATGAGCTCCTCTCACGATCCTTAACCAGTTCTACGAAGATCTTATTTCCAAACAAGATTGCATCCTCAGGTAGTAGGGGTTAGGACATGGACACAAGTCAAGCCCTGCTGTCTCCCTGCCTCCATTTCTCCATCATTCTGCTTTCTATAGCGGGCAAAAGAGAGGCAGGCAGAGGATCTGGGCATGTCCCTAAGACAGGTGGGGTCACTGTGAGCTGATATCCAGACATCTGACGAAAGGGAATTTCGGAAAAGGAGAAATGAGAAAACAGAGGAAAGCATCAAAGAGACAAACCCTGAAAATTTCTTGGAACTGGAGGATATAGAACAGGGGGTGAATGGTGCATCTTAAAATATCTTGTGCCCATGAATGGGGTGGGAATGTGTGCCAAAGATGCTGGGTTTGGGGGTCAAGAATGAAGAGTCAAAAGCAGTTCTGAGCCTCTCCTTAGGTAGTCAGTTGATGGGAATAAACTCAAATGCCAGCAGGACAGGTGAGTGATGCGGCTGAGTAGAGAAGCCGTGCGGTGGTGGGCGTGGTATGGATTGTGCCCAAGAGATGGGCATCTGCTTCCTTTTGCTTGGGCTGCCTTAACAAAGGACATCAAGCTGGGCAGCTTGAAAAAGCCACTGACCAGTCTGGAGGCCACAAGCCCAGGGTCAAGTGACTGGCAGGGCTGGCTTCTTCTGAAACCCCTGTCCTTGGCTTAGTGACAGTCACTTTCCTCTGTCATCTCCCCAAGGTCTTGCCTCTGTGCGCTTCTGTGTTCTGAGCGCTGTTGGTAAGGATGCCAGTCCTCCTGGAACTGGGTCCACCCTACCAACTTTATTTAACCTCATCATTTCCTTTAAATAGTCTGTCCCCAAAAAACAGTCCCATTCTAAGGCCCCAGGGATTAGGACTTCATCACATGAACTGGGGAGGCGGGAATCAATTCACCCCATGCCACCTCTTTGAGGACAATTCCCTTTCCCATTAAATAATGATTCATTTACCCTCCCAGCCACACATTCTTAGCCCCAGAAGGCCATAGATGAAACTGGTTCCTGAGAGTTGAGCTTAGCAGGAGTTTGGATGAATCTTTGTCTCCTGTACAGCTCAAATTTGGAGAAGCGGATTAATGCTTTTATTTGGAAAGAAGAACTTAGCCTTGTGGTTTCTCCATCTTGGGAGGAAGTTCCATGAAAAAAAATTTTTTGCTTTTGAAATACTTTCTTCCAAAATATTTTAGATACTTATAATTAACCCCTCACTGATGCCCAAAGGCAGCGTGGGGTGCAGACAGAATTGCCAGAGCTGAGTCAGCTAAGGCTGCAGCTCGCCCCCACCCACGCTCCCTGGCTTTTCCTCTTGTCTGTAGATGGTCATCACACGTGCTTAGCAGCACCCACTTCGGAAGTGGCAGCTTCCAATGAGCACTGACTGAGTGCCTGCTGAATGCAGAACCTCTTGGCGGTGGGGGAGAAGGGAAAAGAGAAGGCATTGAGTTTGGGGATGTGAATGTGAGGTAGTATTTGGGTTCTGATGATGGTTTTTGCCTCTTTTTTTTTTTTTTTTGCTGTGGCCTCATGAGTGACTCTGCCATTAGGAGTTGGTTTTCCTGTTCGTAAAATGAGGGAGATGGTTCACCCACACTGTGTGTTGCTGGGCTGTTGGCAGGATTTGAATTTGGGATGACCCATAGGAGTGTGCATTGAAAATCACGAAGGCCTGGGAAGCACGGGGTGCCATCATCGTTGTGGGGTGAAACTGGAAATCCTTGAATGATTCAAAATCCATGAAATGTCAGAAACAAAATCACTGAAAGATGAGAGGAAGTAGAGCAGAGGGACATGGGAAGCAGGCAGTTTGGTAGGAGTTCCCGCTTGCTACTGTGAGCTGCACAAAGTGCTCTATCTTTGCGTGGCTTGGGTTCCTCATTGTTGAAATGGAGGTCACAATATCTACCTGGCTGGGAGATTTTCAGATCCCCATATAAATAACAGTGTGCAGCGAACACTTACTCTGTGTTAGGCCCAGGTGTTTCATATGCCACGGCTCACAGCAGCCCTGAGAAAGAGAGATTTATTTGTACTTTCATTTCAAGATGAGGGTCAGAAAAGTCAAATTCTTTTTTGTTGGGAGGGGGGTGTCTCACTATGTAGTTCAGGCTGGCCTTGAACTCATGGTGATCCTCCTGCCTCAGCCTCCCCAGTGCCGGGATTAGAGGTGTGCGCTACCACATCCATCTGAGAAAAGTCAACTTTCTTACCCAAGGTCACACAGCTTGCAAGCAGTTTTCCAGGCTCTGCCACATGTGCCGTTTGGTCTGTGGAAATGCTGGTGAGATGTCGGGCTCCCAGCCAAGCTTGCATGTGGTCAGTGACTGCAAGTGCTGGGAATGTGGAGAATGTGTGTGAGATTGGTAACCAGAGAGCAGGTTAATCGAAGAGGCCTCCCTGGAGGAGGAAGGTGTGAAGTAAGAGGGTGCAGTGGCTCAGGATCATTGAGCTCAAGGCAGTCTGGGGTAGTGATGTAAATGTGAGAGTCAGGGCACAGGGATGAGTTCAAAGGCATGAGATTGGATAGCACCACCCAGGGAGTGAGTACAACGAGAGAAGGAGGCTCGAGGAAGACAGAGCCAGGGTGCTGTGAATGGAGAGGAAGAGGTGAAGAGGAAGAAGGACACCACGTGGGGAAGAGTTTTGTAGCCGACATCCCTTCCCCGGTACTAGTGGCCTATGAGTGGCTCGTGTTTCTTGCCTTCCCTACTTCGGCTATACTGTTTTACATCAGGAGTCAGACCGAAGCCCTGAGTGACTCAAACAGGCATGTCAGCTAGCAGAGATGGGCTAGTATCGCTCCTTTGCTAATGGCTGTCACCGATGTCTAAGTCCTGGTCTGTGAAGTGGAAGGATTCTGCTGTTACGTGCAGCTGAGGTCAGTGTGACCCCAACTAAAATCCTTTCCCCTGAACTATCGCTTCTCACTGACCTTGTGGGTTGTTTGCTAATTGCGCTTTGTCCCAGTACCGGTTTCTTCTATCTTAGCAAGACAAGCAGTGCCAACTCCCTGACAGCCCTGCCTGGCGCCATCATGCCAGGTGTTCGGCAGGAATTCACTAGATGCCTCCAAAGCTCCCTAGCTCCCTACTCCTTCCCACGATTGTATTCAATAAATACTGGGTGTGCTTGGGGGCCTTTGTCTTTGCTGCCTAGAGCAGCACTGACCAGGACCCAAGACTCAGCTTCACTGTAAGTCTCCTTCCTTCTGTCTGTTTTTAACCTTTAGCCAGTGCTGCGGTGGCTCACAGGAGGCAGGGACCTACTGCAGGGGTCTCCAGCGATGTCCATTCCCCCTGACCCTTATAGAGTTTCAAGGAGAGAGTGATCATTGTTTTATGCTTTTGTTGTTTGAAGTGCTGAGGATGAACCCAGGACCTTCGCACTGAGCTATATCCTCAGCCCTTTTTATTTTTTATTTTGAGACAGAGTCTTGCTAAGTTGCTAGGTTGCCCAGGCTGGGCTTGAGCTTGTGATCCTCCCACCTCAGCCTCCCAGAGTGCTGGGATTACAGATATGTGCCACCATGCCCAGCTCGGTCACTAGTTTTAATAACACAGAGGCCAGGATTTAGCTCAGTGGTTCCGGCCCCTGCCTTGCAGGTTCAAGGTCCTGAGTTCAATCCCCAGTACCAAAAAATCCCCCCAAAACAAACAATCAAATAACACAGAGGCAGTGGTGATCTTGGCAACAGATTGGGTGGTGGGAGGAGAGAAAGCCTGGTTGGAGGAGGTTTCAAGAGAATGGACCGGAGGGGCTTGAAGTAATGCTTACAAGGCCTTGGGATCTAACGGGACCCAGGAAGAGGCCCCAGGCCCCAGGTGGATCTCCTGCCACTGGCCACCAAACACCCCAGCCCTGCCTCCTGCTGTTGGCATCTTCACTCCCTAACCCACCTCCACGTAGCTTCCTATGTGGGCCTGCGCCACAGGCTTGGGAAACAATAGTGATTATAATGGCCACCAGCCACCAGCTCCATTGTCCCCACGGGTTAGTAGGAGACCAGAAGTAAGACAAAAGCAGCTAAGAGTCTCCCACACAGTAAGCTCTCCTCTCCCAGACAGTAGGGATCTCGCTCTCTCAAAGGACCACAGCTTCACACGCTGTAGCTGGGCATGTGGAAACAGGGGCGATCTTTTGGGCAGGCAAATTGGCACTAGCCATCCACATCTAGGACTTTTTACTTTTCAGTACTGGGGATTGAACCCAGGGCATTCACACTGAGTTACACCCCCAACCCTTTGTAGTTTTTGTGTTGAGACAGTGTCTCACTAACTCACTAAGTTGCCAGGTGGGACTTGAACTTGCGAAACTCTTGCTTCAGCCTCCCAAATTGCTCAAACTACATCTAGGAAATTAGAGGGTATGAACATGGTAGTAGTCCCGCTGTGCCAAAGTGTATCACCATCAGTGCCCACGGAGAGGACTTGGTTCAATGAAAGATGACGTATTCGTTCTGTGCACTACTATAGAGCTATTAAAAAATGAAAACGATTTGTAAACACTGACATAGAAGGTGCCCTAAATGCATTAAATAAAAAATTAAAAAGTCAAGTTTCGTAACAGGATATAGAGTATGTTTTAAAATACCTCCAGGGAGCTGGGTGTGGCAGGAAGAGGACAAGTTTAAGTTTAGCTTAGGCAACTTAGCGATTTAGTAAGATCTTGCCTCAAAATAAAAGGTAAAAAAAGGGGGGGTGCTGAGGATGTGGCTTAGGGTGACAGCTTAGGGTTCCATCCTTAGTACAGCAAAACAAACAAACAACACTCCTAGGTTAGCTCTACGCAGAGGGCTGAAGTATGGACAGCAAAATATACTTTATCAGTCTCAGGGAAGAGACAAGAGGCAAGGACAGTATAGGGATCTGCGTCTCCACTTTGCAGATAGAGTTGTTAGTTTCCATGGGAACAAAGCCAACTCTGCAGCCCCTTCATTGGATCTGAGGCTGAGCAGCCTTGGAAAAGTCACCGCCCACGGGCCATGGGCTTTCCTGAACCTTCTACCTCTGAAATTCCCCCAAGCCCTCCTTGCACCATCTGCCTGCACCTGTTAAAGAAAGCAGAGCCACCCCTGGGTGTTCCCATTCATTACCCCTAGCAACTATTGCTACAGCCCAAACTCCAACCACACCCATCTCTAGAGGTGGCACCATGGGCACTGATCTCTGGGGCTTGGCAAGACTAGGCCCAAATCAGAGGTCTAAGGTCTTCATTCATTTATTCACTCATTAAGTTTTTACCAGGGACTTAAATCTAATCCCCCATGATGGATAATGGGGACATAAAGATAAATAAGACCCATTCCCAACCACTAAGGAGTTCACAGTCCTCTGAGGGAAGGGAGGACAGTAGTTAAATCATCATAAGTCCATGGAAAGATTTAGTGGTAATTCAAGTATTCTGGCTCCTGCCCCTCATTGCCTCATGAGATTGCCTAGGATGGTAAAAGTTATCACTACAAGAAAATTATAAGGACTCTGGTCATTTGCAAGTTTAATTTATAAGCTAGCTCTCGTGCACTTAGTCTCCAGGTTTACTTGGCTCCTCTTGGCTGTGAATTATTTTTATCATATTGGCACCTTTTTACTGTGAAACGATCACTAACTCAGATGATGTTATGGAGGATGCCAAGTGGCATTGTGAGCCCGCAGCCCAGCCTCTCCCGTGATAGCTCCCATAACTACAGAGTATTCCAGAAACAGGAAACTGACACTGGTCCAAAGGAATTAGACTACGACCAGCTGACCAGTCCCTGATGGGCACCAGTGTCTACTCTGTCCAGCCCATCAACGCCCTGAGCCTTCTGTCTCTGAGTGCTGCCTCTGACCTTTGCAAAGTGGAATTGCTGTCCTTGACAAGTGACAGGACTTCCTGAAGTCAATGTAAGTGATTCCTGGGAAGGATTCAGAGCGCTCCAAAGATATCAGCTATTGAGTATCTGATAGGCATCGACCAAAATGGAACTGAGGAAACTGACCCAAAATTGACCTAAAGAAGACTGGGGGTGGGGGTGGGGGGCTGCTTCAAATAGAACCAGTTCACCAGGAAAAGACTAAGAAAGGCTGTGCTGTCAAACAAAATTTTATCAGAAAATTACTTATATATCATTTATATATAAATTTAAAATTATACACCATTATATGTCTAATTACATATAAATTACATAATTATACATTACATAGATATATAATTTCCTGATAAAATTCTGCCTTCATATTGTATTTGTTCTAAGAATCACTGCAGCATTGCAGCTTATTTTGTTAGCTAAAGATGGAATATTGTCTGTTTCAAACCCTTCCCTCCTCCTCAACATTTGCTATAAAATTTTCATTTCATTCTCCCTGGATTCACCTCTGCTAGACTTCCTCTGGTACTAATATACTCAGAGATCAAGCATCTCTTGCCCAGTATTATCAGACAAAGAACACAATGAGTAGTTCTGCCTGGGAGAGTGCAGAGAAGACTTCTGCTAAGTAACTTTGAGGCTGGGTATTGAAGGATGTGTAGGAGTTCACCAAATGGAGAAGGGGAGAGAATGTAAGCAGTCAGAGTGACAGTTCAAATCCTACAAGAATGGAAGAGCCAGGCTTCCTTTCAGATACTGTGGTGCACTGCACTGTGGTTGCAGTACAGTTGAATGGGGTAGGGACAATTCCACGTGACAGGAGACAAGGCTGTGGAGGTGGCAAAGAGTCTTACTGAAGGGCTGGCACATGGAGGGTGTGGAGTCAAGGAGGGACAGGATCAGTGTTGCAGCTGCTGCTGGGAAGGGAGGGGAGAGCTGAAGGTCAGAAAACCAACTTTCCTTTATTTATTGTTCATTTTGCAGTGCTGGGGATGGAACCCAGGGCCTTGTGCTGTAGGCAAGTGCTGCATCACTGAGCTGCATCCCAGCTTTAGCATGGTGGTGCAGATGCAGCCTCCACATGTGGCAGGCAGCTGCAGGGAGTCAGCTCCACCCCAGCAGCCTGGGGCCCTGGCTGAGCCTTTCTAAGCTGAGCATCTGGGTCTGTAGAGCGAGAAGGAGAAGGAGACAGTGCCTCCCTCTGAGGGTTGTGGGGAGGTTTCGAAGTCCAGGACCACGCTGCCAGATGAGGAGCCTGAGGAGGCTCCCGAGAAGGCGGGAGGGCTGACTTAAGGATGATGGTTTAGGCCGGCAAGAGGAAAGACGAAGGGGAATGAGACACTCCTGCAATCAGATGACCCGGGCCAGGCCTCAGGACACGGAAGAACACGGACTCCCAGGTCTCCTGTGGAAGGAGCTCCTCTCACTGAGTCCGGAGAGGAGAGGGAGGAGCAGATCTTCATGCGAAACTGGGTGGACAACGCTGAGTGTAATCACCCGAACCGGAACCGCAACCCGTGTAGTACAGACCCAGCACAGGCCCTCGATAGGGATGTAGTCAACACGAGATGCGGGAGGAGTCTACACCGCAGGATACTTTACAGTAAACTTTTTTTCTTAATAGGTAGGAGTGTACTCAAAAATAACGATAAAAAGTGTTGTATAGTGAATACATAAGCCAGTATCATGGGCATTTATTTCATCATCAAACATATACTATACGTAATTTTCTGTCCTATGCTTTACATGACCGGCAGCACAGTCGTCGTTTACAGAGTTGTGATGTCACTGGGTGACAGGAAATTTTCAGCTCCATTCTAGTCTTACTGGACCACTATTGTACCATAGGCCATCATTGCCCCAAACGCCATTATTTAGCAAGTGTGTAGCAGATTCCTGCTCAGAGCTGGGCCCCAAAGAAGCCACCCAATCTGTACAGGTGAGTGAGAAATAAACTCTGAGACAGCTGGGAAACCTGCTGGTCTCAACTTTAGAGGTCAACATAGAGGAAGGAAAAAAATATTACCTGAGAATTTGTCATCACAAAGAGGTCAGCACTCAGATTTGTAGCCTGAATTCACGCTACCTATTTAAAAAAAAAAAAAAATTAAAAAGCTAAGTGTGGTGACCCACATCTGCAATCTCAGCATTCTGAGAGACTGAGGCAGGAGGATTGCAAATTCAACCCCAGCCTGGCCAATTCAGAGACTTAGAGAGTTCTGTTTCAAAATGAAAAATGAAAAAAAAAGTCTAGGAATGTGGCACAGTACAAAAGCCCTGGGTTCAATCCCCAGCAATGCACATACAATAGAGGGGGTGAGGGAGAGGAGGATTTACATGGACAATTTAAAGACAGCACAAGTGAGAAGTAGGAGCGACGTCTCTTAGGGGACTTAGCTTTACACCAGGACTCACAGGTCACCTACAATATAGGTCTAAGAGCACTCAGAGTAAGAAGGTACCTCACACAGTTGTAAGCACAGCTCAGCGCGCGGAAACGAGAGAAGCTGAAGCAGACCCCAGACTCCGCCCATCAGGGGAGCTGCGCAGAAGTGTTTGCAGTCGCGCAAGCGCAGCGAGCTCACGCAGACTTGGGAGCGTCTCTCAGGGAGTCCTTGTTCGGCGACACTACACGGGTCACTGGAAATTGACCGTGGTGAGTGGCAAACACTATAAAGTACGGCTTTTATTTTAAAGAGAGAGCAGGCCAGTTGTTCAGCATCCACTGGAAGATCACTGAATACTGTATAAAGATTGATAGAGAAGCTCCCAAAAAAAGGTCAGGGAGCCAGAGGCTGTGAAGAACAACGCAACACATTTCATGGAGTACAGAACAGAGCTATTCCTAAGAGTGATGATCTCATTGATTGAATGAGAGATTAGCAGTTTCAGATTTACTAATTCTAAAGAGGAATGATCTGTTAAAAGGCATAGAGGAAAGCCAGGCATGGTGGTGGTGCTCATCTGTGATTCCAGGACTTCTCCGGGCTGAGGCAGGAGGATCAGAGGTTCAAACCCAGCCTGGGCAAAGTAGTGACTCCCTGTCTCAAATAACAATAATAACAATAATAATAGAATGCGGGGGTTGTGCTCATGGTGAAGGTCCTGGCTTCAAGCCACAGTACTGGATAGAGTAGTAGACATAACATCAGACACATTTGAACTGCAGAAGGAAATAATAGGATAATAGGGAAAACGAGAAGGAAGTAATATTTGTGTACATTCAAAAGAAAGTTTATGTCTTTGGATTTTTAAGTAATGGGACTTCATAGAGTAATATGTACTCTGAACTGGAAACTCTGACCTTCGCTCACTAAATGCAGCTAACCTGCTTTGATTATTTAATCTGTGACTCATTAACATTCCAGAGCAGAGACAGTTAACTGCCCAGTGCTAGATAACAAACACTCAGAATGATGCTTTCTGGTTTTCCTTTCACTGAAGTTGATTTCTTTCTTAAAGGGACACTTGTACAGTACTGCTAGTCCCATATTTTCTCTTCTCAGAGGACCCTCATCTTGTTTGGCTTTTACTTCTGTTAACAAACCTTGGAAAGATTTCAGATTTAACTAGGAAGACTGTAAATTCAATGAGAGCCAGAGTTGCCATCTTCTGTGTTTGCCATTCCCAGATCCCCTAGGATAAATCCCCTCTTGGGTTGGGCACTCTGTAAATGAATGAATTCACTGGATGCCCACCATGTGCTACGCCGCATGTGTGTGTTCTCTGCTAACAAATGTTGACAGCATTTCTCTAAAGAGGACGTGGAAGTGCTCAAGCTTGTCACAGTATATGGGGGATTCAAAGCCACACTTTATGCTTTCTTGCTTTCTCTCTCTTTGTCTCCCTAAATTGCTACATTGCTTGAACTTGTGATCCTCCTGCCTCACCCTCAGAATCCCATGCTCACAGACGTGCACCACCACGTGCAGCTCCCACAGTAGCTTCTTGGTTAGCGTGGACCAGGTGTTTATCAGTGTCACGCTGAGGCTTTTTTGAGACAAAGTCTTGCTATTTTCTTCAGGTTGGCCATGAACTTTCTGGGCTGGCCTCCAGCCTCCTCAGTGCTGGGATTACAGGCGTGCACCTCCACACCCTGCTTGCAGTTGGCTTATAATAATATTATAGTTGTTATAAGATACACTTATATTGACACACACATTCCACCAGGATAAAGAGTGTCTGCCCCAACATTACAAGGGTGCTCAGGTCAGGGCATACAACTCACTGCTCCCCAAGAAACCTGGGATGCTTGGTGGAAAGGAAGGCTTTATTCACAGCTAGCTCCAAAGGAGATAGGCGTCTTATGGCCTCAAATCTTCACCTCCCCATGTTCAGGTGTCCAACAGCTTTTATTACAAGGAAGGAGCAATACAATAAGACAGACTGGGAAATTCCCATGCTCCTTTTATCTCTGTGGTCATTCTCAGAAAGGAAACCGGACCTTGGCGATATTCCTTTCAGATGGGCTATGCTGGTGTTTATGACACAGGTGTTACTTTTCTGACAATTCATCTGAGCTGAGGAGAGGAGGGGGTGGCTGTTTGCTGTGCTCCCAGCAGAAGGAAGTTGCAGAGGCAGTTTCTCTCTAAAAGCAAAAATACTAATTTTGAAAGAGCCATTTTACCTCTCAGTAACACAAAGTACAGGCTCGATGCCAGGCAGGGTAACAGTTCCTCGGCTGTGATGGCATCAGCGTCAGCCTTGTGGTCCTTTGATGTCCCCCAGGAAGCAGACAAGACGTGCTCAGGGGGTCTTGGTTCTGCAAGGCAAAGGGGGAACGGGAATGGAGGAGAGCAGGTAGCCCTGGCCCCTGTGAAAAGAAGGGCAGGAGTAGTATCTATGGGTTGAACCTCAGGTTCCGTCCAGCTCTAGGAAGGCTCGACCTTGCACAATGGGAGGTCAGGGACACAGAAAGACACCATGAGCCCGGTGCCACTGACATCTCATTGCCCGCAGCTGCCTGGGAAACACCTGCCATCAATTTGCAAGCTGAGGAAGAACCTTAGGGCACCCATGGCTGGAGCTAGAAGCTGTGGGCCTGGCCTGCAGCGTGTGCTCTCAGGGAGCCAGGTGACACAGCTCCCAGCTGCCACAGCCTTGATAGCTTGCAAAGGACTCGCATCGCCCAGCTCTCCACAGTGGAGACTAAGCACACAAAACCATGTGCCTTGACAACAGACACTCTTTCCTTAAATCCTGGCAGTTATTAGCTGTGTGACCTTCTGCAGGATGACTGCTGTTTCTGAGCCTCAGGTTCCTATGATTCCCAAACTCCTTTTTCTTTTTTTTTCTTAAATTCTTTTATTAGTACATTTTAGGTATACAACACATTTACATTTCTCATTGGGAACTTGTGCCTTTAGATAATGCATCTTGGTTCTTATTTTTTCCCCATTCCTAGCCCTCCCTTCACCCCCTCCACCCTTCCCTATTTACAAAGACTTTATTTCCATTTTTTCCATTTCTCAGCATTTTTCCTTTCCCTTCTTTCCTTTCCCCTGCCCCTCCCACTATCCCTACCCCTTTGGACCTTCTCTTCCTATTTTGCATTATCGATTATTCATTCTAATCATTGGTACATTTTAGGTATACAATAGAATGACATTCATCATTGGAGATTTGCACCTTTACATAATCTCTCTTGGTTCTTATTTTTCACCCTTGCCCAGCCCTCCCTTCAACCCCTCCAGTCCTCCCTATTTACAAAGATTTTTGTTCCTATTTTTCCATTTTCTCATATTAATTCCATTCCCTTCTTTCCTTTCCCCTAGCCCTCTCACTTCCTTCCCCTTTGCCCCTTTTCTTCCTATTTCACATTACCTATTATACGCCAAACTCCTTTTCTAAGTGTCAAGCCCTTGTAGAGAACCAGTTGATCCTCTCTGCACCCAGGGAGAAACAAGTGGTATTTCCATAACTGGTCAAATGCCACGTCAACCAGCAATCCCAGCAACCCCCTGCCAATAATGTCAAGAGGAATCGCAGAGACACTCCATGGTTTTGGTTCCAAATCTCCTCCGTGTTCCATACATCATGATGATGATAAAGATCCCCACCACTCAGGTCTTTGTAGAGGCAGTGGAGTAGAGGTCAATGGGCCTAGGGCTGGCTGTGGGAGCCGGGGCCCACCATGACTGAGCCACTGTGAAGGGTGGGCGGTGAGGATAGAAGAGTGGGGAGAGGTGGAAATGCCAACGGCAGTGGGGCGGAGGTGACAGAGGTGGTAGAAGTGATGTGATGGTGACTGTGGAATTAGCAGTACGGATGCTGGCAGAGAGGTGATGCTAGTGACAATGACAGTGATAGAGAGTGAGATGGCAGTGACAAGCCTGACTCTGGCACCCCAACAGGCCAGGTCTCCTGAATGAACTTCTGGCTCACGTGAGCCACAGCAGGTCATGGCATCATTTGCAGATGACCTACGAGTCCCCACAGCCTCAACCTGGCTTCCAGAGTCACCAGCCAGGAGTGAGCTCCCTGTGCTGCAGGGGAAAACCTAGGAAGCAGAGGCAGCTGTTTACATACCTGAGCAGTGGCCAAGGTGACTCAGGCTGAGCCACAACTGCCCATTGCCCTGGGCTGTGGGCAGACACATGGCAGCCACAGGACAAGCCCAGCCATGCCTGTGTGCCCAGAGAGTGGGCTCCTGGCCCTCTCGAAGAAGCAGCCACTCTGGCAGGTGCTGCTGCTAGACTCTCGTCCTTCTCTAATCCCACAGCCTGTGTTCCTCCCAGGTCTTGCCCAGGTCCTGTGACCACACTTCGGGGCTGCTGCTGTACAGTGGGATGACTGGTGCCCACCTGGTTTGGTAGAGCAGAAAGCATCCAGCTCCCCATGTGCTCATTCAGGACTGCTGTATTACATCACTGCATCCTCCTCACTGATCTCCAAGGCAGCGGGCAGGAGCTGCAGAAGAGGCCACTGTCCCTGTCTCAAAGGTAGGTGATCTCCAGGAGCCCCTGAGCCCCGTAAGCCTTGCACTGGGGCCAGAGTGTGGAGACACTGCATGTGACAGCTGCAATGCCTCTTCTCAGTGGATCCCTCAGTGCCTCTTCCTCCCCACTTCCAGGCTCAGACCATACATCTGTCATCCTCGAGGTCCTTCGGGTACTGTGAATCAAGACCCAGACCTTGACTTGTGATAGAACCGTGACAATCAGCACTGAACCAGTGTTTCCCAGAGTGTGATTCCTGTACCACTCTGCTGGTAACCAGATGACTGGGGAGGAGGAGCTCAGCCATAGGCATTAAATAACCAGTTGCATAGCAGAAAGAGAGTCCCCTCTCCATTCTTTATTGTATCATCATCATCATCATCATCATCATCATCATCACCACCACATTAACTCCCACTATATGAAAAGGTCATTTTTGTAAAGACAGACAAATCTCAGCAATCTCATAACTTGACCTAAAGGGATATCTTAGACATACTAGAAGTTCCACAGAAGAAGAAATGAATAGGTACAAAACAGTGCGGTTCTGCTCAAATCCCCTGTGACTCCTTCCCCAGTATGCTTCACACTAGAATGTTCTCCTGGGCATAGCCTGTTGCTTTGATTTTGGCTGCTATTGTGAGAGTCCCCTTATTTCATTTTCAACAGTTTGTCTGTTATGTGCCTTGGTGAGATTTTCTTGAATTTACCCTGCTTACGTTTGCTGAGCTTCTCCAATCTGTATTCCTTTCAACAAATTTGAGGAGTTTTTAATAAACATTTCTTCAAATATTTTTCCACTTCATTATCTCTGCCCTCCTTCACTGATTCCATATATATGTATAAGTTGAATCTTCTAATATTGTCCAGCAGATCATTGAAGTTTGTTTTAAAAATAATTTTCTCTCTGTTCTTCAAATTGAATGTCTATTGCTTCACCTTAAAAGTTATCTTTCCTCTGTCTTTTCCATTTTGCTGTTAATTCCATCCAATAACTTAAAATTTCACATATTATCCATTTCATATTGGTGATTTCCATTGGATTATTCTAAAATTTTTTATGTTTTTATAAGCATATTTTCCTTTACACTTATTATGTCTTTTTTTTAATCCATGGCTATAATCACTGCTGGAAAAAAAATCTTCACTTTTTGGAAAAAGAAAAAAATCCTCAGTTCCAACATTTGTGTTGTTTTGGGGTCCATGTTCGCTGGTTTTCTTTCTCTCTTGAGAAGTGATCAACTTACTTCTTCAGCTGTCAAGTAATTTTGAATTGTATACTGGACATAATGAATGTGCCATAAACTCTGGATTCTGGTATAATCTAAACAGTGTTGATTATCTTTGTTTGCTAGTTTTAGTAGAGACATAATTTGGGTGGAATCAAATGCAAAGTCACCTGGCCTGCCTGGCTCCCACCATACTGGCTGGTAGACTGCAGCTCCAATCTCCACTCAGCTCCTACAGCTTAGATGAACTTCTTGCCATCTGTCCTGTGGATATACACATGCTGCAGGGTCAGCTGGACATTTGGGCAGTTTGTACACAAAATCTGGGACTACTCATCTCTCTCTCTCTCCTCGCTGGGATTTCAACCTCCACTTTCCAGCAATTATTTTTGCCCCCAATTCTGTCCTCTCATTATTTAAGACAGTAAAAGATTCTTTTTAAAAAAAAAAAATTACAACTGTAAAATATTCTTTTAAAAAATATTCAATTTTAGCTGGCTTGTGCAGCACCAGTTGGGATCTGCCTTCAGGTTAAACTTAGGAACTGAGGAATTCACCAGTGATTTCCCATTTTCTATATATAAATTCCTTTACAGTACCTGCCTGCTCTATCACTCACCCATGCCTTTGTGTAGTTATTTCCTATATTTCCCAGAGTTTGTAGTCATTGTCTGTAGTATAGTTGGTCTAAGAGGAGCTACTCAGCCATATTGGAGTTGAGAATCCTTTGTGTTGCAAATGGTACCATCTGAGAGATGGTGAAGTTGAGGCCAGGAGAGGAAACAAGGCCACAGTGTGTTTCAGAATGAGCATGGAGAGCAATCAGCTGTGATTTTAAAAACTGCATTGGGGATTTTTTTAGAATCCTAAAACAGACTGGCTCTTGTGCAAATGCTGTTTTATGCATTAGTAAATTGGTGATAATATCAGCAAACAATCAGTGTTCCTTAAGTGTTTACTAGGTCCTGTGCTGGGCCCTTAAAAGCATTTCTCAAGATGACTTGATGAAACTGGAGTCTTTTCTTGGGAGACTTGCAGAGGAGGAGATTGAGGTTTTTTGCAAAGTTAAATTCAAGTTGATAGATCCCTCTGCGTGATTAAACAACAATAACAGTGACTCCTATGTATTGAGCTAATTATCATGCTGCAGATAGCACACTCTCTGCTACCTCATCTAATCCTAACAACCCCATGAGGTCAGCACTGTTACTGTCACTCCACCTTTTCAGACAGACAAATGGAGACTTAAAAAGTCAGGTAACTTCCCAGAGGTCATATAATTAACAAGGGACGGACCCACACTTGAACTCAAGCAGATTAGCACCAAACCCATCTGCTTACCCTCTATGCTACAGAGCCTTCTTGCTGTGATCAAACACTGAGAAGACCTGTCACCTTATGGGTCACTTCCTCTTGGTACAGACTGGACTGGCTCAGACAGAATCCAGAAGGCTGCGGGCATCTCAGGCACAGGTATACAGGTGGTACCCCGCAAATGTCTGTGGGGTGTGAATCAGCCCATTTCTGCCCATTCATCAGGCACCCTAGCCTACAACACAAATGAGGAAATCTTCCTAGGAAGGAATAAGTGGCAACAAACTGCAGAAGTTCCCTTGTCCTGGTTTTCACTTCATCTTTTGGAAGATGTAGGCCGGGTGAGCAGAGATCCCGGGCTCAGGCCAGCCAGCCACTTTGCCTCCGAGCGCTGCCATGAATCACTTCCAGACCATCCTGGCCCAGGTGCGGGTGCTGCTCTCTGGTTGCCAGCCGAGGCAGGTGCAAGCCCTCCTGGACAGCCTGCTGGAGGAGGAGCTCCTGTCCAGGGAGTACCACTGCGCCCTGCTCCGTGAGCCCGATGGCGAGGCTCTGGCCAGGAAGATCTCGCTGACCCTGCTGGCGAAGGCGGACCTGGACTTGGCCTTTTTGGGCTGGGCTTGGAGCCAGCTTCAGGCCCCGAAGGTGGAGAGGGGCCCTGGCTGCAGGGACCACGGTGGTGAGTTGGCATCCCTCTGACTCCGGGGCACTGACTAGTGGGGACATCGCAAGGATTTTCCCTCCCCTCTGAAAGGGAAGTCAGTGGGCAGGAATCAGGGTGCCTGGCAAGCTGGCAGGAGCAAGGACCACTTCGAAGTTTCAGTCTGTGCGCCTGGGTGTGCTGGAGACGTGGAACTGCCTCCCACCCTGTGCATATGAAACCTGCCCCGGGGCAGGTGGCCAAACACCCACCCTGGGGCCCCACCAACATGCCAGTAGCAGGGCCTGGGGCAGACAGATTAGCTCCTGCCTTCAACAGGCTCCCAGCCTGGAGGGGAAGACAGAGGCAGGCACAATCACTGTGGGTCAAAAGTAGAGAAATGAGGTGCCAAAGAAAGGGGGGCCAGATGAAGAGCTAGAGACAGAGGACATTGCGCTTGTGTGTGCATGGGTGTGTATGTACCCGCATTTGTGTGGATGTGTGTACATGCATTTGGGTGTATGTGTATTCGTGTGTGTACATGCATTTAGGTGTGCATGTACATGCTTCTCCACACGTGCACATCTATAAAGATGTGTGTGCAAATGCATTTGCATGTGTATGCATGTGCGTGTGTGTCTGCGTGACAGGTAGTCAGACAGAGAAAGAGATAAAGGAAGGGAGAGACAGACAGAGGCCAGGAGAAGAAAGGAAGAAGAGAAGGAGGAAGGAGAGATGTGTCTTAAACCAGGAAAACAGGCCTGCGCCCACTCCAAGGTTCCATCTAGGTTTTCCTTCTCGGGTAGAAGAGGTGCCAGTTTGATTGCAATGTGCTTTGTAAGGACATATGGCTGTCCTGTCTTCACAGGGAGTCTCTGCTTTTCTGATTTCAGGATTTAGGGGCATAAATTCCAGCCCCTGTGGTCCTATTATGGCTTTGGAGTGACTTGGAAACCTGAGATACTGACAGTGACTGACAGCTACTGAGGGCTTACTGTGCACAGGCACAGTCCAGCTCAATCTAGCACCCATTACCCAATTCTGCCTTCCACTCTGAGCCCTTTGAGAATCTGGATTCTCACCCAATGTGGAAAAAGAAAGCAGAAGCTGGGTGTGGTTGTGCCTCCCTGTAATCCCAGCACTCTGGGAGGCTGAGGCAGAAGGGTCATACATTTGAGCCCAGCCTGGGCAATTTATCAACTTAGTGAGACTCTGTCTCAAAATAAAAAAGGGCTGGGGATGTAGCTCAGTGTGAAGGGCCTGGGTGTAATCCCCAGTAGAAGGAGGAAGGAAGGGAGGGAGCGAGGGAGGGAATAGAATGGGAACTGGGAAGAAAAAGAAAGGACAAGACAGGAAAGAGGAAAAGCAGAGACTGCCCAGAAGGTCTGGGTGGGAAGCCATGAGCGCTGGACTGGAGAACAGGCAAGCTTTGGTCTCCCCCGTGAGAGGTCAGATGTCTTCCGAGGGCCATCCCTGAAGCACCTGAAGCTCTCCAAATCCATTGCCACACCCAGGTTTTTTGTCATGGGGTTTGTATTTACGGGCTTGGTGCTAGTGCTTTCCATCACCCAGGTGGTTTCCATCCATTTGTGGGACACACCTTTCCCTCTGTCCATCCTAATAGACCAGGAGAGGGGAGTGGCACCCTACACCAAATCACGCCTCACTTCTCAGCAGTGTGAGCGGCCTGTGCGCCAACCTGGGAGAAGCCAGAGCCTCCCAGACACACCTCCTTCCCCGCCTGCTGCCAGCACCTCAGCCCTCCCTCCTCCTCCTCCTGAGAGTGCTGGTTCCTGTTATTTAGCTGTTTCCTCCCCGGGGATGTAATATTTTTATTTCGGGTCTCATGTGACTTCAGAAAGTGGAACTGCGCTTGAGGTGTGTGGTCCTCAGGGGCCTGGGAGGTGGCAGGACATGTGGCCTTCTCTGCCTCTCCCCTTCCTGCCTGCAGGCTGCTCCCCTCCAGGCCGGCAAGGCCGGTCCCCTCCCCACCTCCCAGCAGGCTGGTGCAAGGTGGGAGAGGGTGTGGAGCAGCCCTTGGAGAGAAGCAGAACAGGGAAGGAGAAATGGTGGCTTGGAAATAAAGGGCATTGACTTCAGGTTCAGTGGGAGGGGATGTTCCGAAAAGGAAATCAACGGAGTGGGATTTTTGTAACCCCTCCCCCCAGCACCCTCCACTGCGCTAAACTCTGCACTGGCTCCCCCTGTCACTCGGAGGAAAAGCTAAACCTGGACAATACCCCAAAAGGTCCTTCACAGTCTGCCCTCTTCAGCTCTCTGCCCTCATCCCCTGCTTCTTTCAGTACCCACCTTATTTCTCATACACCTGGCAAACTCTGCCTCGGGACCTTTGCATGTGCTCTTCCCACCTCCAGAGCACTCTTCTTCAGGTATCCTCTTGGCCAACCCTAACATCCTTCAACTCTTGCTTCAGATGTCACTTTATCAATGAGGCCTACCCTGGCCATGCACCCACTCTCCGAGTCTCCTCCCCGGGATTGACTTCTTTTTCACCTTCCATGTACATCTATTTTTTTGTGTGTTGTTTGTTGTCTGATTCTCGCACTGAAGAATAAGGTCCACATGGCCATAAATCTATAATTTAATCACAATGCATCTCAAATGCCTAGCACAGTGCCTGAGCACATAATAGTTGTACCAGGTGATGCGTTTGTTTGATGGTGAATGGGTGGGTGGGTGGATAGGTCACATGGTACCATTATTCCCATTTTACCCATGAATAAACTGAGGCCTGGGGAAGTTAAGTAATTTGCCTCAGGACATGGCCTAGGGAAGAGGATGACTGGGTCTCATGAGTTCAGCTCTATTACAGCAGTTTCTGCTTGGCTTCCTCTGCTAGACAACCCAAGAGGATACGGCAAACTCAGGCAAACGGGCCGAGGATCTCTGGGCGGAACTTCCCTGCTCATTCGGAAGGTGCCTCAGATGCCCATATCTTAGCTGGGACCATGCACAAAGCCCACCTCTGGGATGGGCACTCACACTGGTGAGGACTGGACTCCAGGTTCTCATGCTGAGAACTCAAAGGATTCGAGGGGAAATCGAAGCAGTTGGCCCTAGGTGACTTCATCCCAAGGGCAATTAGGAGCCAGGGAAGGGACCGCTAGGGTGGGGTGATGAAAAAGAACCAGGCTGGGCGCTGGCAGCTCTGGGTCTGAGCTCCTGCTCTGCTACTTCCAAACAGTGTGACCTTGGCTCCACGACTGGACCACTCACTCGGAACCCGAGTTTCTCTGAAGTGTGCGTGTCAGAAATCTCTCAGAGCTACCATGAGGGCTAAATAGCTGGGTAGCTGGGGACCTGATGAGAACAGTAAAGAGCATTCAACAGGAGAAATCAGCCAGGGCCCGAGGAGCTGAGAGAACAACCATTTCTGTAGTCTTGGCGGGGCCCCATGAAATGGCAGGGTGGTGTGCTCGGTGCTCTGCATGTCTAAGAACAAGTGAGTGTCCTCCCCAGCTTGGTGCTTGAGCAAGCACCCAGCTCTTTAGACAGCCTGAGTGCCAGCCCCGGCTCCCATGGGGCACAGGTCTGACTTTAAGTGCTTCCCAGGACCCCTCTGGGCCTCGGTTTTCCCACCATAAAGTGGAGGCGACAGTCACCCTCAGAGTTGCTGTCCTGAGGGTCTGAGACATTATCCTACGTGAGTCAGGTACATTCCCAGCAACAGGAAGCTGGTCTGACTCAGCAGCTGGGGCCACCACAAGCCCGTGTGAACAGAAGGCGAGGGAGCCCAGTTAGCCGTGGGTATTGCCCACTTCCTCAGGGCTGCAGCACCCTGCATTTTATGGTTGTCTTTGGCTCCGCTGTGCTGTTTTGTTGCTCTGTGTTTCATTACGTGGACTATATTCAAAGAACCAAAGAACAAAATCTCTGCCTAGGATGTCGCCTGATTTATTGGAGAGGGAGGGACACGGCGCAGCCTTCTCGGCCTTCTCCCCCAGCTTCCTTCTGCATTTGGGCTTTGGGATGCAGGAAACCAGAGCTGGGAGGACTGTGGAGGACAGAGACTGTGCCCCTTCCAGCCCCCTTCCCCCAGAGCCAGCCCTGTGCTCGGCCTGGGGATCCCTTTGCTCCCTGGATGAGGTGGAGTGCAAGGGGTACCCTTGCCCATGCCCCAGGGGTCAGCTCCAAGCAGTCAGCCCCCAGCAGTCAGCCCTGTTGAACCCCGAGAGCCACAGAGGGAGCCTCCCGTGGGATTTCCTGGCCAGATGGGGCCGCTTGTCTGGAGCCTGCAGCCCGGTGCTGACCCAGCCAGGGATGATTTCTGTTTCCTGCTCCCGGGAGCACAGGCTCACCTGTGTCACCAGCCACCTGCCTGTGACTGACCTGTCCGCCCTTCAGCTTTCCTGGACCCCTCACCCACCACCTCCTTACAACTGCTGTCTCTTTATATACTCAGCCACTCTTCTCCACTTACCAATTTATCCTGTTTCTACTTAATCAGGATGATCAAAAGATAAGGTGACTATTTAAATTTTAAAAAATTTTATTGCCGTAAAAACCACGTTGCTATTGATCTCCCTCATAATACTCCTCGATTCAAACACACCTGTGCTATTGTGCTTACCACTCTCTGAAGCAGCTCTGGAAGTCCTCTTCTGTGAGTATCTTTAGTTGCACTATTGTAGCGACCCCGGGTCTCAGGTTCCTGTTTGGGATGCCAACTGTAGGTGACCTTGGGTCCCAAGCCCTAAATTTGGGCTCCACCTGTTCCCACTCTCCCATCCCCGGCCTTCCTCAGGGACCTACACTGGTTACTTTGTTCCTCCCTGACCTGGGGGAAAGGAGGATGAATGACAAAAAGACACAGAGTCAGCCTAATGTGCAGCCAGAGGAGACCTGAGCCTTTGGCCACCTCGCTTTTATTCACCCAAACACGGGCACAAGCAGTGAAGGTAACACAAGGTTTGTCTGCTTTCCAATAGCCACTAGTACATGTTCTGGTAAACAACTCAACCTCAGCTGCCTTAACTTTTCCCTAATGTGCGGTCATCCCTTAGTGCGGCCTTTCT